AGAACGAAGGACAACCGGAGATCTTATTGTGATATTCAGCGTGAAGTTTGCTCTCGACGATTCTCGTGCGAGCAGAACCACCCTCTCTTTCGCGCGGTCGCGACTGGCATTGCTGAAACGGAATTCATTAGGCGTGAGCATCCGTAAGGACAAACTAGAGCTAATTTATTTTTCACGCTTTCGGTTCGTTCGCGAATCGTTCGTCGAAATTCCGACTCTGTTTGTCTGCGGGAAAGTAAACGCACCCCCTAATGCTGAGGGCGTTTGCGTAAGAAACGTTGGAAAATGCGATTACATGAAATATTGAGATTTTCGTTTTATTCTTGTGCAATTTGAAGGGACATTCGATTGCGGGTATGAAGATATGGAGTTATGTGATTAGTTTTAAGATTCTTTTTTGGTAATATTTATGGTAATGTTTGTTGTTGGTATTTGGGATATTTTTATATTTATTTGTTTATTGTGTAGTTTATGTGTGCAGTGAAAATGTCGTTATTGTTTCATTTTGTCAAATGTTTTTGAGGAAGCAAATTTTTCTGATGAATTTTTTTCTATATGATACGACAGCTTATACGAAATATCCAGAAAACTGTGTGCATTATACAGTGTATCTCATTAGTCGGTTCATTCTATTCTGAATAATTGTTATACGTTTTGGTTACGTTTAACGTTCAATACAAAATTATTCATTTTTATTTTACATAATCTGAAAACGCACCAACGTACATTCAGTCCCGTTAATATCTACTGGGAAACGCATGGTTCTTTAATACCCGACGAAAATTGCATTTTATTTGAACTGACAGCTAACTAGGATAATTAATTTAATTACTTAAAAAAACTGTCGACATTCGTTCACCTGTGCAACGAAATATTGAAACTCGGTAATATACAAATAAATGTAGGAACATTCGAAAAACCGCGCGTGTAAACGTATGAAATTTGTTGAAGTTTCATACAATCCAGAATAAATGTTTTACAAATTAACTTAAAAAGGAAGCAATGATATTTGCGAATTTAATAAATTGTATGAATTTGCTTGAAATTACGAATATTATTAAATAAATGAAATCCTGTGTATATTATAGGGATTAATCTTACAAATCTTCAAAACTCAGTACAGTTTGTTTAAATCAATAAATCTAAATTAAAAAACAGTCATTAAGTAAAATCCAAATAAATATATTTTTAACCCTTCGCACTCGTATGTCATGCTGGAGATGACAATATAAATTTGTTATAGAACGTTGGAAATTGTTTGAAATGGTAGCACACTTTAAAATATTATACAAATTAAATCTTATTATAATAACAACAAATAAAATAAATATAAAACGTTCAATTCTATCGCTGTAAGTTACTTTCGTTCATTTTCCTAGAAATAAACACAAGGTTACACCCAACAACATTGAAAATAAATCGAGGGTTAATATTAAAGCCTTACCTAACAGATTGTTTAATTTACTTTTATAATTATCCAATAATTATTTATAATTATAATAATACGTTATTAATAAACCAATAGTTTCCAATGTAAGTAGCATATTCGATCGAATAAACTGCTACAGAAATCGTCCGTATATTTCAAAGAATAAACCACTAAAAAGAATAATACTCGTTCCTTTCACCGACACCCTACACTTCCACATTAGCCGGCCGAATTTATCGCGAAAACATTTATATTCGTAAACCGTATCAAATTTTGCCGAAGGAAAAACCGATACACAATCAGTCGAAACGTCGGAACGCAAAGACTGCAGCGTAAGCGACCGTATTTGCTGAATAGAAGCAATAATAGTGGGATGAATCGGAGCCACCTTTTAACCGCGTAATTGACCGACTTTCAATTCAACCGCGCACGTCCTTTTTGTTTCAGTGCATCCGAAGTCTGTACGTGTCATCGACGAGAGTACAAAGAACCCGTTAAGCACCGGCACTACTTTGGGGCCTATTATCGAGGGCTCGATGATTTCGTTGTACTGCGAAAGCGGCAAAGGGAAACCAGTGCCTTTGGTCGAATGGTTTAAAGACGACCAACCGCTGGAAGGTAAGATTCAAAAATATTGACGCTAAACCCCTCCGCTTTCTCGCCTCATTCCGTGTCGAGATAACGCTCTCGCCCGGAGATTTTCGAAACTGTCGCGGATTCGTCGAATCACCCTTCTTATATATTACTTTTTTTTATTCCTTGAGAAAAACAGGGAAACTAAAAAGAAAATCGGAGAAATAACAAGTAAAATTAGAGTTATACGTTATTTTACTAGTATGCTTCGGAAAAATTTCTAATTTTAGCTTTTAACCCTTTGCCTTACGATTTATTGCTCAACAATGATCGATACAACTACTTTGTCACTAATAGTTTATTAAGAAAAAGAAAAACGTTATAGGTATATTCTGCATTAATTTCTGCTTTAAGGTATAACGATTGATAACAGAAACAATATTTAATTTGAATTCAAAAGAACCTAGTAATATTTATGCTTGTTAAATTTTATTTAAAATCTTCACCACGAGTCTAACACGTTATTGTACGGCAAGGGGTTAACTAGAAAAAAAGAGAAAATATTGTCTACTATCAAATTATTGTTCAATATCTATATGACAATTCGAATTTCGAGTTACAAAAATTGCACAGCGAAAATATGATCAATTACTACAATAAAGATTAATAATTACAATAACTTTCGCTAATATTTACACGAAGCATGAATATTTTCTTTCCAAGAGCTCAGAAAAACAGAAAATAACGAAATATCTCTGTTTTGATATCTCCGTGCGCGATGTCGTGCAGTCACCGTCAAGACTCACGCGAAATTTCCCGCGAACCGGGGATGAGCACGTACCCATCACGAAACTCGATCTAAAAACACATCTAAACACGTCTGCACGGCTGTGTTTTCAGCAACCAGCTCAACGACGATCGGTGACAACGGGATAGGTACTGGCAGTAGCCTGCTGCAGATGCAAATCACGCGCGAGGAGCTGGGCGCAACTTTCACGTGTAAAGTCAACAGTACAGCGCTCGTTGAACCCCTCACCGTCGACATCAAACTGGATGTTCACTGTAAGTGTATCGACGGGACGCGTTTGTATGCATGCAATCTCCATTCCCGTGTCCCGCCCGAACCGACACCACCGGTGTCCCGCGAAAAGTGATTCACTCGAGACGATAAGCGTTTCTTTATCGCTATCCCGATCGACCGGGAATAAGAGAGAGAACCAGAGGGGGAGAGTAAAATAATCTCGGCGAAGTTTCCTCCTCCCGCTGTCGGGGTCTTCGGGTATTCATTATCTGAACATTTCGTTGAAGCTTCTCCGGGGGTCGAGAGGATAAGTTTCGAAAGAGGGTCAAAAGTGGGAGATTCGTTTCTCCTTCAGTCTCCATCGGGCTTAGTATCGATTCGGGCCTCTCGAACGTCGTCGCCCCGATATGACGGGTTCGTGTGTTTTTTTCGAGTAATTAGGGTTTTAGCTTTCGTTGGAATTGGAAGGTGAGTTTTAACAGGGAAACGGAAGCGGAGGAGTCGTTTTACTTTTGGTCACTTTTCACGTGTATTATCATTTGATTTTTTTTCCCGTTAATGTATGGAATCGATCTTTATTTTCATCTTAGCACAACAATTTGATCTTTGTAATTTGGAAGATGATAACGTAGTCGTATTGTCGATATGGTATCAAATAATGAACTTTCTTTCCTTTAATGCATGGAATCGGTATTTTAAAGACACCCCGTAAATATTCTGCACATTAACTATATTACGTTAATTTTAGCACAACAATTTGATCTTTAATTTTGAATATGACAACTAGATATACTGTTGATCTGATAAAAAATAATACATTTTCTTTCCATTAATTTAGGGAATCGATCTTTTAACACTGACCGCACCGACACTTTGTATATACCTATTTTTTCCGTAACTGATTAAATAACTGCAAAATAAACATAAACATGTTCGATGACAAATTTTGATTGGTGGAAATAGCAACAAGAGGAATGACAAAAATAGAGAAACTGTTTAATCGCCAATATAGGAATTGGCACGTGCAATAAAATCAACAAATGAAGGGTGTGCTCATTAAACGCAGGACGTATGCACCTAGGATATATTTTACTGAAAACCAAAACAAAGAATAATTACATGCTTATCTGAAAAAGTAAAGAATTCATCCTTAGAATAATTAGTATCATTTCAAGCATTAAGATAACGTGTATACTCGTCAAACACAGTTAGCTGGTTAAATCAAATTTTAAAACCGGTCATCTGACCGGTTCATGGTATGGTCAACGTTAAAGACACCACGTATACTTTCAAATATCCTGCTCATTAACTTATTATGTTAATTGTAGCAACACTATATTCAATACAAACACATCGTCTCAAGCTGTATAAGAACACTGTTAAATGTTGTAACACCGTCGCAGGTTTGCATTATCCCAGACTATCTATGTACTTACACTCCTTGCGTTAAATCGAAGATTCAATTAGAATTTACGATTTCCGTTGTTGCGACGGTAAAGAGGGAAGAGAAGATTAATATCAGATACGACGATACAGGAAGATCCAGTTCGTGATCAATTTCTGTCGGGAAAGTTCGGAAGTTAAGCATGATCTATGAATCACGAACGAAGTTAAAGAGAATCGGCCGTCAGTAAATTATAACCTCGCCAGTCACAGTCATTAATCATTTTGGCCGTGGCATTAAAAAAGTCTTTCGGTTCCGCGTCGTTTGTTAAAACTGAACTCGTTAAAAACGAAACAAAAAAAAAATAATAAAAATTTGCGCGCGTGCGCGTGATCCGCTCCTTCTCTACTGGCCACGGAATATCCGATTTTTCCCTCGTTCCACGCCGCCAGCGTTTCGTTTCGACGCTAGGCTTTGCTTCGTAACGTGTAAAGGCTAATTCAAACTGGCAATTTTTGCAGGAAAGTAGTAATGTTTCTTTTCAAATTAAAAGAAAATAATACATTTTCAATGCATATATTAATATTTATTGAACAATACAATTTCCATCATCACTAGTGACCTTTTTTCAGTGAAATGGTAATTTGTGGATTCTATTCTTACAGAATAACTCATCTTTGGAAACTTGAGGTGATATTATCAAGCAAAGTGTTCGGTAGACCTTATAGTATATCTATATACTATATTTTAGTTATAGTTTTGCGTGATATTATCAAGCAAAACTGTTCAGTAGACCTTATAGTATATCTACCGTTAGTCGAGTGACGTAGACAAACGTGTCTAACAAATTAACAGAAATTTTTAATGCGAATAAGACAAATAAATTAGTGGATATTTCCATTATCAGTAAATTCAAATTTTAAACTTCCAAACAAGGAAAACTATTAACTCTTTGTCATCGAGAATTTGTGGAATTCCTAACAGCTCTTTCCATAAAGAACTGAATTATGTATCGAAGCCTTAAATACCAGAAAAGTAAAAAATCATGTATCAACCTTTCGTTATTTAAATAATCGAGTTGTTCATTTGCAGCTTTCAATTTTAGATATTGAAACTCGAAGCCGCTATTATGGAAGCATTTGTCCACTTATTTCTTTCAACACTTGTTTCCAGATTTTGTCTCCTGTTCTCCATTACAATGAGCGAAAAATATATGCCAAACGTTTGTCTACAAACTGTTTTAATATTCATGTTTCGTCTCTCGCTATCTGTATATTGTCTGCGGTCACGTGTCCAGAAACAATTGTCTCCCAATGTGGACTAGCCTTCACAATCTCCAAACAAACCGGGTGACGCCGGAGTCACGCACCTTTTTAATGAATTTCCTGCACACAGTTTCCCTTTAATCTGATTGACCCTAATTTATTTCCGACGGTTTTCTACTGCCCGATTTCATCCCGGTCGATCCATCTCTTTCCAACTTCCGCCAATCTCTTATTACAGCTTTGGTACCATTTGTCCGCGCGAAGTTATTTTCGTTCTTTTCAACGTGCCTAACGCGATGCCTGTATTATGAATCGCAAGCATTCTCGCGATTTACATCTCCTGAATTTAGTTTAAATTTAAATCACCGAACAATGAATCGATTAATCTCATTTTTATTATAGGAACCATGGAAGTGAATTTTATTGGAATTCCGACTATTTCGTATTTTGTTTTGCATTTTTCTATATTGTTACAGCGATAACATTGTTGCGATATCATCTGAAATTAATTTAACATGTACAGCTAGAACCAATTAATAGAGCTGTAATGCCAGAACATTGAAGGCAACGCACCTGATAACACAAAAAGAGTGAATACGCGCCACGGGGTCGAGACCAGTCGAAAAAACTCATATTTCTCCGTACATTTTCAGGAAAATATATTTTACTCGCAGTTCCAAAATGTATGTTCGTTAAAATTTGTTCAGTAAGCCGAAATTAAATAGAAATGGGTCTCCCCATTTAATGGGTTACATGTGAAATATAAACTTCGTCAAGCATTGCTGATGCTTTTATTTTATTGCATTTTATACGATTTCAGATGTTATGAACGCATAAAAACCAGCAGACTTGCTCGGTCCGCTGCTCCTGTTCGTTTATTTATTGTTCTGTTCGTCGAGATTGCAGCAGACAAAATTTATTGCGCGGAACAGCGAAAAACTGTTGCAAACCTTCCCGCAGTGTATAACGTGTTGAAGCTTAGTTCGGCAACGCGTTATTTGCAGTATCTGCATTCATTTCGGAAATCATTATACCACCTTAGCGGTCGCACATAATAAAACGATAAAGGTTGTTAACCTTTAACCCTTTACGACCGGCACATTTTCTTGGTTAGGCAATACCAACTAGTCGAAGCAAATATTTGTTTTTAAGATTATTTTTCTATAGGTGATTCATAATAAATATATGGATATTAAAAAATACAGATTATTTTGTGAGGTTAGTATATTTTATTGAATATAAATACTGTAGAGAATATCAAATACTTGTAGTACCTCCCGATCGTAAAGTAACACTGTATTCAGAGAAAAAGATAATGTCGCTATACTAGCGACACCGACGTTGAAAACAAAAGGTTAAGTATGGTCATCCGATTTGACAGACTTCTATATAAAATATCGTGAATTTTGAAACCAATGAAATTTTCGTTTTTTAGTTAATACTATTACTTTGTAGAGATGTTTAGATAAGTAAAAACAAATAATTACAATAAATTTCTTTATTATTAGTTGCTACAAACAAGAATATTGAGCATTAATCTGTAATTTTCAAACTTCCATTCTTAAAAGTTAAATTCACGTCCATACTTAAAGGTTAACAACGTTATTCAAAATCGCGTAATCGGTTATCGAGCAAAACTCTCGAGAATAGAAAACAGTAATGAAATATGAGCCATTCATTTGCCAAATCGATTAAGTGCACAAAACGAAAAATAGAGAAATCAGTAAATGAATCATACGTTTTTGTTACAGCTTCTGACTCGAATCGTTGGATGAATTATTGCGTAACAATGAACAATGACGCAACACAATCGATAAAAACGACAAAACAATGTTTGCTTAAGCTTGGCTTGTGCTCATCGCGTTAAGCTATGGACTTTAATTGGTTTTTGGTTTCTAAAATATATTTTGTATTGTTCAATGCTTGAAAAAGGTTTTATCATTTCGTGGTGTTAAAACAATTATTAACACTAGAACTACCGAATGGGTCAAATTTCACTTATCTATAATAATTATTAAAGAAATTGGTTTACTGATTTCCGTGACATTTTTAATTCACGTGTTCGTATATAAAAGTTAATAAAATAAAATTACATAAAATTTCATTTCCATCGCGGAAGGTTTTAATATGTGCATTCAAAAGAAATTGAGATTGCATCAAGTATTACTCAAATATGTATATTTATTTACAGACTTTTATGTGCTAACATGCATCAGTGCGTATAAACCGATAAAAATAATTATAAAAACGTAATTCTAACATAAATCCGACGGTGGAAATATTTCTCGTCGAGCGTGCGTGGTAATTCAAAACTCGGACGAAACAGCAATACTGGCGCCATCGTGAATAGTGATTGCTGTAAATTTTAGTTGAAGATATAGATCTTTAATTC